CCCCCCCCCAGCTAATCAAACTCAATAATAGGTAAATTTACACTTAAATTGACTTGATTCAAATAAAATATACAGTATTAAGTACAGTAATATTAATAATTTATTGTAGTGTAAGTGTAAATGACTGCAACGCTTACAGTGCAAGCCTTACAGTTGGCTTCAATGCATGCATTTGTGTTTCACACGTGACTCTCACGTCTGAATGTCTGTGAAATGTAAACAAAATGTTGAATCAATTTAAACGTAAGATTTGGTCCCAAAAGACATGTGTTTTAAATGCCATTAAAGGACACCATTTGAGTACAAAAGCAAAGGAGAGTGGCTTTGGGTTCAAAGAATCGGTGCATATATTGGACAACAACTATGCGGTCGACGACTGGACTAATATCACACCAAAAGTGGTGTCACTTATTGGACGCAATCTATACCTGAAGAAAGGAAATCCATTGTATTTGTTGTCTGAAGCCATTCGCCATTACTTTAAAGATTACGACTTCTTTGTATTTGCGGATCCGGTGGTGGATTTGAAGTCAAACTTCGACTCATTATTGATACCCAAAGATCACGTCTCGCGTCAAAAGAGTGATACATATTATGTGAACAAAGATTATGTCCTCCGATCGCATACCAGCGCTCATCAGAACCATTGCCTCCACAAGAAGTCGACAGCTTTTGTATGCATTGCAGACGTCTATCGGAGGGACGAAATCGACAGAAGACATCACTCTGTCTTCCATCAGTGCGAGGCCTTCAGACTCTACCACAACAACAGCCCTCAGGTCTACTCTCTTCACTCCATTTGATACGATATCTTATTGTCATATATTGTGTCCAACAGTTAATCTCCAGAGGTATTAATCATGTGTTTGAGAGCCACAAACTTGTGAGAACTGATAGCAAACAAGAGAATCACTGCCAAGAAGTGGTCGATATAATTGAATCTGAGATGAAGACCACGATTGAGGCGTTTGTTCGGAACCTCTTGTGGGAAGACATCCCAATGCGTTGGGTTTCCGCTTACTTCCCATTCACTCATCCGAGTTGGGAACTGGAGATCTACCACAACAACGACTGGATTGAGATATTGGGCTCCGGTATTGTGGAGCATAAACTGCTTCAGAACGCCGGTATCAATGACAACATCGGTTGGGCATTAGGTATAGGTCTGGAGAGACTGGCGATGATTCGGTACCAAATCCCAGACATCAGACTCTTCTGGACCAACGATTCGGGCTTTTTATCTCAGTTTGAAAGCGCCTGCCATTCGGACAAAATAGTTTACAAACCGATATCATCGCACCCACAGCTCATATTTGACATATCGTTTTGGTTACCACAACAGGTGTTCTGGTGTTGCAATGATTTCTACGATTTGGTGCGAAATATTGGCGGAGACCTCATAGAACAGGTCAAAGTGATCGACGAGTACACCACCAAAGAGGGCAAGAAGTCACACACGTATCGCATTGTCTACAGAAGTCACGAACGAATGCTCAGTAAGGATGAGGTGAATGTCGTCCACAAACAGATTGAACGCTATGTGACCGACGAGTGGAAGGTTGCCATGAGATGAGCGTCTCAATGCTTTCTTACAGATATTTTTTAATAAAGATTAACTGTTTATTGAATTTAATAATCATTCAAAACAATTAGTTTTTCAATCACAGGAATTGATAAAAATTTGAAATATAATATAATATATCATAATATTATATATGAGTCACACTTATGAATAACAAATAGAGGTTTCCCTTAGAATGTGAAGGCTTTAGGCGTTTCTCGTAAGAGATTATTCAACAATAAGTGTCATAAATATACTGTATTTCATATAATTAATAGGAATAATAACAATAAATGATAATATTCTGTAGTCAAATAATAAATTTTCGAAATGAATAGCGTAAATATAAAATTTGGGTACTTTTCACACAAACATAACATTTGTTAACAAATCAAAGTTGGTATTGGTTTAAGTTATATTCACTTAAATGATATGCTCTTAAAGTTGCTTTATTGGTAAACAAGTTATTTGTGGTAATGAATTGATATAATGCAGGGGTTGGCACTCACATTATCTGTCGGTGCAAGATTATTACTATTGGACACCCCTTACACATCAGGAAAGACCTTTGGTTAACAATATTTGTTTGAGAGATAATTACATACAATATTAAAAATGTGCATAAATTTGCAAATTATTGGTCTTTTTATAACTTTTATAAAAATATAACTCATAATAAAAAAGATAAGAAATGGGTTTTCAATATATAATATAAACTCAATTATTGTCGGAATTTGTCATCTCTTCACTCGTATTGACGATTGCGATGAATATAATTGTATTTTGTATTATGTGTTCATTTCTCACTATCATCTCATTATAACAAACAAATCGCTATTTATATTCAACTCAATCTAATTGAATACAATACGAGTTTATTACTCTAATTAATATAAACATTATTTTACTTATAAAGTCATAACAAATTGAAACAATTTATGCGATATTTCTTCTGTATGTTGAAGTCGTAATGAATAGTATGTGACAAATGGTTAATGGCATCAATCAGACACTCAATGACTTATTGTTATATGAATACAAATTCTGTAGTAATAAACCACATATTCTGTAGTAATAAACCATATATTGAGGGCTTATTGTGGTTGTGTTGGGTTTGGTTGTGCTGACTGTGCGATGTCGCTGTCATTCCTCACGTCGGACTTGAGTTTGACAAACTCCCTGGCCACTTCATCATTGGACCGTTGCGATAGGATTCGCAATATAGTCCAACCCGTCTCATCCATGTGCACCCGTCGGCCCAATGGCAGCCAACAGGCACAGCTTCCCTGCTCTATGATGTCCCTCAACTGCATGATAGCCGCCCCCACCAGTCGGTCGTCTCTGGCAAAGCAGTAGTCTTTGACCCCAATATGCAATTCAAAGGATGTCGGCTCCTCTTCGTTGCCTATTATGCTATTCAATACACAATTATAATAGAAATGAGATTATCATCCATTTCTAGCCCTAAATGTGTTGAATGTCTTACAAATGGAAGGTTTCATTGTATTTGGGCGACCAGTTGTTGTTCTTGGATTTGGTCGCAAACTTCCTCTTCTTATCGCTCAGATGTGGACCAATCATATTCACCTCAACGAACGGCCTAAACATACTGGTGTTGGGCCACTTGAGCTCATTACAGGCCACCACTGTTGTCAGGATTTGTATCATTAATATGTTTTATAGCTTCAAAATATAGTTAAGAATACAAATACCTTTAACAGTAATCTTATGTTCACCCGTTCCCGGGTGTGTGAATAAGTCCACTTGAATGGACACATCACCTACCGGGCCATCTTCTTGTGTCGGCAAATCTAAGTAATTGTTTTATAAACCATTAAAATTACAATTTTATTATAAGAATCATATATTCAAACCTTGTTTGGTCTGAGAGGTGACAAAAGTTTTGATTAAAGCGTCAGTGGTTTGTGTATATAAGGACAGCGCGTATCGCAATGATTGCAATTCACTACTCTTTTCTAAGAAAGTCTTCTTCAGACCATTGCCTCCCGCGTGAAAGTATTGCTTAATTGTCTCCAAAGCAATGTCAAGAACTGCACACTGTTTTGGACTCAAATTCTTCTCGAACTGAAGCGACTGCAAGCCATCCAAACATCCAATTAATTAAAATCTATAAAATCAATTCAATCCATACCTCCATTACTCCCAGAGTTGTCAAACGGTTGGCTGACATGTGATTTTTGAAGAGTCGGGACACGTCTTCTATCTTAGCGTTGGGCAGGTTCTGGAGAATCACATTCTTCTCAGTCATTGGCGGCAATACAATAGACTTCTCTAATGTATGCATAACTATCTTCCAAAGCTCTTTAAGGAGTCTCTTGAGAACAGTTCGTTCACAGAATTGAGCAAACATTGAGAGCTTTCCATCCAATAGATCCATCAGTGGATGCAATATATGGTCGGCATCGGCGGCCACCTCTTGACTGTTACGAAGCGCTTGATTCGCTTGGTTTGAACTGCCGGATGAACCCTTTATTCCTGTCAATAAACTTCCCAATTCATGAACACTTTGTTTTATAGTTCCCTCCAAACTGTTATTCAAATAATAATTAGTTCATCAAGGTTTTAGAGTTAGTTAACAAATTACTAGACCTTTTGGCAAATATTGCACTCAATTCGTCGAGAACTCCATTTAAGGTTTGCTGTAACTCTTTGAGAATGTTTGCCGCATCCGATTCCAGCTATTGTTCACATATTGTATTTCAATTAGTTTTATATTTTAATCATTATTAACCAATATTTACTTTTTCTCCTCCCATCGATTCAAACATCTTTTCCAATTGAACTCTCAATTGTTGGATATTATTCATTAATATACAGGCCTTTCAATTGATTACAATCATTAGCCATTATAACACATTTAAGGCCATACAGTAATACACTCACAGTTTTCTCTTGTCCCACATAGTTATGGAACTCCTTCTTAACGATGTCGGCATAAGCTGTTAATACTTTTACTATAGTCTTAGCAAATCGTTTCATATATCGCTTAACAATCTCAGGGTCCGGACACTCGAGTTTACTGATCACATCAAAGCATTGAGTCAATTGAGTGAATACATCGACCACTGAGTTGGAGAACAGGGAATGTTCTGAGCTTTGCTGGAACTGAACCAACCAAAGACAACAAGTTTGTTAATGGCATCAATGAGATTCAGATAATATAAATGTCATGTCATGTCATACCCCATCCTTTTTATCCCTCAAAAAGGCACTGTTTAGGTATTCTAAGGAGACGTCGTCGTTCTCATTGAGCCATTGCATCACAAATGGTTCAAACCATCTGAATATGAAATTAATTTCTTTATAATTAATACATAACTAAACTAACAATCTTTGTATCTTAGTATGACTTACGCAGGATATTCAGGAACTGATCCTTTGAATTGTGGCACATCTTTACAATAGGTATTGTAAAACCATTTGACTTTGAAGTGGAGGTTCATATACGCGGAACTCCTGCAGAATCTGTTTTGTTCGTGTTCTTCGAGGGCGTACTTCATGTCCACTGCGAACAGACTCCACATCGTGGCCGCACTCAAGTGCCCGATGTTTAACTCTTGAGGAAATCTACCAAACAATTTGCAATTAATTATAACTTTTTATTTATCGAGTTTATAATATTCCTATAAATTGATTACTGGTTTAAAACTGGAGAATAACTATTTTTGTCCTCTTCTATGACGGACACCATAAGAGCGACCAATTTATGCCAGAAGTCAAGGTTCTGAAGGCTGGGTCCGTGATCTTCCTGACCCTCTTTCTTCTCGTTGGGATCCGTTTGGAATTCCCGTCCGTAGAGTTCAGTGCAGTTCTCAAACAAGAATTGATACGTCGATCGGAGACAGGCTTTGGCGCAGTCCTTCACGACAGTACTCGCTCGGGGAGGACTCGACAGCTCCTGGACTTTCATCCGGAAAAATGTAATACTTGTTAACAAATCAACCGTTGATTTGAGATCCTGTAGTTTCTCAGGTGTTGACGCCGGAAAGTTATTCTGTATTGTAATTAATTATAATTAATGACATTATTATTATTACTATTAATTTGTATGATATCATACCCTATACATAGACAAGTCTATCCGCAGTGAATTATGCAACTGATCCAAGAGTTTGACAAATTTTTCTTTCTATAGTTTTGCAATAAAAATCAAATATATTAAGATATCGTATTTATGTAATTTTTAATGTTAACTTATACACTACTTATGCTCGAATAATTCCTAAATATTAAACACAAATTTGCATATGTTTTCAATTCATTTTAATAATTAATCATTAATGTGATTAAAATCTATTCAGTTGTGAAATATGAGAATTGTTATGCAAATCAATTATTATTTTCAATTGAAAAGCCTTCATATTTGAAATGCAAGTCAAATGCAATTATACCCCAAAATTAGATGCGGCGAAGCGATCACTGGCTGATACGGCAGAGGAGGCGGCCGTATGGGCATAGTATGCGTTGATGTTGGCTAACAGAGTACTCATCACAGCCGGAACCCCCTGACACAGGTATTTCGTGGACAGACAGTGGAAGTGCCTAATATGTTGTCGAAAATACTATTAATACGTGAATACAATTAAAGTGGTGAAGCCATACGTCATGGCCTGGTATATCGATTCGATGCCATATCTCATCGCAAACTCGTCTACTATTTCTCGGGCCGGGTATTCAAAGTATATTTTCCACGCGTCGTCCTATTTATGATGAAAAACACTCATAATTATAACCTTAAATTATGTATATTTCAAATAATTTAAAAAACATTTTTGGGGGGAATCCTGCTTTTAAGGCAAATTCTCTTTTCAATGATTTCAAATACTTTCTATACTTTCAACCCATTTCTCTGATAATGATAATATGTTATTGAAAAAAACATCTCAAATTTATAAACACTTTTGCAACATTAATATCGGAATACTTTAAATTGTCTCTTTTCAAAGAAATTTATTAAAACATTTTTATCATAGAGTTATGTAAAAAATTATCCAATTACTCGACTCGTTAAATATAACACTCTTTTGGGTCACATAAAGAGAATTATATTAAAAAACAAATTTCATTCAAATAAAATCTAATTGGCTAAACTTATAATTATTTATTCATGACTTACAGATATATCATATATATTCATGATATGGGAATACCGTATTCTGTATGTAAGAAGTCAAAACCATACTATTAATACACTATAATATAGATCATATTATGTATAAAGAATATAGGTCGAGTATGGTTTTGATTACTGTTTTCAAATACTTAAATAACTTGTATATTGAATATTAAAAAATGAACATTAATTTTATAATACTGTACTATACTTGCTAAATTCTAATTATTTTAAATTGTATCTTTAAATAAATAATATTAGAACATTTGCCTAAAATGTAAACCATAATTTATAAATACTATTAATATTTTGTAAGTATTAATGCAAGAAAGCAATTCAATATTTTATGCCCAAAAGAAGTTTATCCTTTTATTCAAAACAATATTCTTATTCTATTAATATTAAAATATTCACAGAATGTGTGCCTAAAGGCATAAATCAGTTTAAGCACAAATTTGTTTTTATAAATTCTTGTCATAGATTCTTATATAACATTACAATAGGAAATTCTTGTTAAAAAATAATATTTTCGTTTTATGACTTTAATGATCAAAAACATTATTCTTAAACATAGAGCGTAATGAATATAAACAAAATGAAATATAGATAAAAATGTATTAAAAATAAAAATAATTGGAGCATGAAAAAGNAAAAAATAATATTTTCGTTTTATGACTTTAATGATCAAAAACATTATTCTTAAACATAGAGCGTAATGAATATAAACAAAATGAAATATAGATAAAAATGTATTAAAAATAAAAATAATTGGAGCATGAAAAAGGTGATGCTTTAAATGTATTACACAACAACTAACAGTGTGTTTATGTGACTGAAATATATTGCATTAAATTTGACAACATTATCTCTAAAATATAAATCAAATTCATTTCTATTATATTAACAAATAAATTTAAAACCTTCATTACTTTTCCAAAGATTTCAAAAATTATTTGTTTGATAAAAATCTAATAATTGTAAAACTTGTCCAACAAATTGAAATCCTGCACATTTGATGATTATAACACTTAAGCTATATTTCATTTTATATAAATATATTTTTGATTTTTGTCAAACACTTCAAATTGAAGTTCTCTTTAAAAATACATTAAAATTGAGTGCATGGCTGAACACACTTTACTTCACTCTCTTCTCAAATAAATCAATTCTGTGTTTGAACTCAAACCCCACTTCACGTCTCTTTCAATTATTATAATTTATATTTCATCAAAAAATTATAAGATTTTTCAGACTTATACAGTAGTAGTCACATCAATTGGTATTAAACCAAATAAATTATATTAATTATTAAATAACGCTAATCTATTGATTTAATGATTTTCGATTATTTTAATTATGAAATTTAAGTTAATTATAAAAACTTATTCATTTTTATATTACTGTAATGTTAGAAATCATTTCAAAATACTATATTAGAAAATTTAGAAATATACAAAAGAAATTATATTAATTACCTAATATCTATATATTATCGTGTTATATTAATTACGGTACTACTATCAAGACCTTATTGGTGATCAATTGCTTCAAACTTAGTATTTATTACACTTCTAACTCGATAGTATTTAGAAACAGGAAATTGATAGTTATTTAATAATTAATCATATTTATTATAATTTACTTAATCAGTATATAACTTATATTACTTATCAATTTTAAAAACGCATATCAAATATAAAAATTGAGATATATTATTTCTATTTTAACTCAAAATTTTCGCAAAAGTGTTATTCAATCAAAAGTACAGTAATTATATTCCA